TACTGTACCCCGCACCTCCACCACTCTGTTACGCCTGAAGTAGGGGTACGGGGGTTTATTGAACGGAAGCTGGGATGGCGAGGCCGCACCGGATAAAACTGCCGAGAGATCTTCTTCTTCCCAAGTCCACACTTCTATTCCCTCTTATCAATCCGGCACATACACGTCGTAATAATATATATATATATATATATATATATATATATATTTATATATAAAGATTGAATAAAAAAGCCGCGGATGCTCGGTGGCCAGCTCGTCACGATGCGTACACGCACGTTTATCTCCAACGCGCACTTCACCTCGCGAGGGGGGAAGGGAGGGTTAGGTTCTTGTGCATGGTTAAATTACATGGACATAAAACGAAAACCTGTTGCCACAGGCATAAACGCCAGGCGACGATTCCAGCGCCAATTGATGAGGAAGGAACAAACAACCAAAGCTATGAACTCAATATGACTTTTTATTCAAATAGTCATAGTTTTATATATATCAATGCTAAGTCTAAGTTTACTCCACGGTGTATCTAACACAGGGCTAGATGGTTGATTGCCTCAATTTTCGGTCGAGTGCCATAAGTGGAGAGGGGGGAGGGGGCGTATCCAGTCAATCTGCAACCAGAGCTTGTGTTCAATTCGACATGTTTTTTTTTTGTTCGGCGCATTGGCAGGTGAAGGAAGTATCACTCACTTTTCCGTAGCGGTTTTGTGCATACCTTCAGTAGTTTACTTTTTATGTGTGTGATGTTTACTGGTGTCACATTTCATAGCCAAACTAGCTCACAGACTGCGTAGATGGCCGCTCCCATGACGGCCGACTGCTTTCACTGGCGCACGGCCAGATTGCCCCTGCTGTTGGTGACGGTGAACGGGACACGCTAAGCAACACGATGCGGTACTACACGGCTGTCAAGGCTATATTTTTAAAGCTGCTGTCTCACTGCAGTGGTTTTTGACGTTTCGGCATCGTGAGTTTTCGAACTACTGCGCTATTGTGCTCGTGAACAGTTGTCTCATGCTACCAGTTTACATATATCTTGGCTTGTGCGTGCGCTTATCCTTTGGTGAGAAGAATCGCGGCTTTGACCAGAATGACTGCGTTAGTTGCCATGTTCACAAAGGTCATGCACAGGCCCCGTTTGCGAAAACAGCACGCTTTTGATACACACTAAAGTATATCAAGTAGGACACTTGTTAGTTTGCTCTCATCCGAACTTGTGATTACGTTTCGTGCGTCGTTTTTGTTTAACAGCGCGCTACGTGTCAAGCTGCAAACGTTGTTAGTTGGCTCTTGTCATGTGTGTGCTATTTGCATGCGTTTTTTGTGCGTGAGTAGCGTGCTGCACGTTTCGATCTGCTTGCCGTTCTCCGCATTACATTCTAAGTTGTTGCTATCGCATTTATTGCGTGGTCGTTGTGGCGAAACCGTGACTTTTTTCAGTAATTGTGCCTTACCACTCATTTTCACTCACTTGCACATTCTAGCTTTTCCACTAGCTTGCGAAATTAGGTAGAACTAATACGCAAAGGCAGCTGACGTCTGGACGTTAAATTTCATGATCTGATTCACTCCGGAAATCTCTATAAGGAAAAGCATGCGGAGACCACAGCGCTAAACAGTATCGCTACAATATCAAGCGTGCAGCTGGTTTTCACTAGAAAAAAAAAAACGCACTGCAGATCAAGTGGGCTCGTCAAGTCCACGATGGCATATAAAGATCAAAGATATAAGTTACATTTGAGGATGATAAAGTGTAACTGTCACTTCAGTGACACATTTGCTTGGAGGCTTTGCAGGAGAGAAACTCGCCGAAACAGACAGATGAAAACGCTTGTACAGCACAGCATCCCAAACCCTGTTATGATGCGTTTGTTGTGATTGAGAACGCAATGTTGTGATCTCGGTGCAAGATGTGGGAGCCAGCGCCTGTGCTCCTTTTGCCACGCCACAAACGTAGTTGCGTTATGTTAACCTCATACATATTGCACATCTTGCGCAATGCATCTGGTTATTTTCGCTAGTTATTTGATCCCTCGCTCAATTAGAGAAATGAAAAAGCTGAAAGGGGGAAACATCAGGGCTCGATGTATTCCGCAGGTTATTAATTGACGCATGGCGGTCAACACCATATTGTGGTGCAGGAGGTAATTTGCGAGCCATAACATTCATGTTGTTTTTTTATATCGAAGCAATTTTTGCTTACTGCTGACAATTTGAACACATCTATCCATCCATCTATCTATCTATCTATCTATCTATCTATCTATCTATCTATCTATCTATCTATCTATCTATCTATCTATCTATCTATCTATCTATCTATCTATCTATCTATCTATCTATCTATCTATCTATCTATCTATCTATCTATCTATCTATCTATCTATCTATCTATCTATTCATCCATCTATCTATCTATCTATCTATCTATCCATCCATCTATCTATCTATCCATTCATCTATCCATCTATCCATCTATCTATCCATCCATCTATCCATCTATCCATATATCTATCCATCTATCCATCTATCTATCTATCTATCTATCTATCTATCTATCTATCTATCTATCTATCTATCTATCTATCTATCTATCTATCTATCTATCTATCTATCTATCTATCTATCTATCTATCTAAACATGACACGGTGAGAACAGATATTGGTATTTTCAAGGAGAGAGAGTTAGGTAAAGACTGACATCAGCAGCGTAGACCGGATGAACGCAAGGAATAAATTTCAGGGTAAGAGCAGGAATCGAAACGTAGTATTCTGCGTGGCAATCTTGTATTCTACCGAAGAGCCACGCCAGATGCTTGAGCTACTTTTGAAAAAACACGCTATTATTCGTGAAACATATATTATGGTGGCACTGCTGGCTGTTTATTTATATAACATCACATATGAACTCTTATGGGTCTAGTGTAACGTCAGGTGAACGTCAGTTGTAGTTAAGTGCCGTCCAGTGAACATAGCTATAGCTCGAGAACAAAACGACGACACAGAGACAAGAAGGACACGAAAGACTTTTTGTTACTGTGTCGTCGTTTTGTTCTCGCGCTATAACTATCGTCATGCCATACCAACTAGCCCAAGCTGCCACACTTTTACGTTCAGTGAAGTTGATTTATGTAGCCCTTTCCAGGGCTACCATGCTCGCGCGCCAAAGCCCACATATCAGGTAGCTATTTAGGGTGTTGCTATTGCCCATGTTGCTCTTGGTATCGCTACGCAACTGTAAAAAGCTGTCCGTACAAAACGTATGAGACTGCTCAACGTATGTCGGTGCGTACAACATTTGTACATATTTTGAGGGTCATCTTGTAATGTTTCGCTTAATAAAATAATTACATTTACAACACAGTCACCGTCCCTCCACATGCTTCGCATGGCATCGATTCCCAAGGTACGTGAGATAAGTGGAAGCACGCATCGACTTTTAGGAATAAAAACAACTATTACTTTCAAAAAAGTCTTTGAGGACTGGTCTGGACGCATCCTATAGTTCTCGAGACAAGCTCAGATTGAAAAGAGTGCCACATTAGTCGATGAACACGTCAGTGTACTGAACTGCGAGCCAGTCTTTGCGGGAACGATGACAAAATGGTTAACTATGTGCAACGTTTACAATAGTCCATTGTATCTGTTACACTGGATCTCTCACAGCTGCTTTGTTGCTAACTGAAACGGGCCTGAATCACTTTATCAAGTATGATAAACTGAACTAAGTAATTTATTGCCTCTCCATTCGATCTGCCCTAAATTTCTCGTATCCGTCAAAAACGAGCATAGTTATGTGAACTTGTTGCATGATTCAGGCGTTTTATCTCTCGTTTTGTTTCTAAAAGACTGCTTGAAGCTATGAGAGATGGATGACACGGGAGAAGAAATGTACGTGTGCGTCAATACATAGCGTGTTCATAAAACGCGATAGGCGCTTTCAGGCGTGATTCCGGATTGCACAGGTGTTGAAAGTATGTAATGTTAGCAGACTACAGAGTGCTGTGGCGCCTTGCCACAAAAAAAAAAAAAACGCATGTGATCCTAACACCAATCTTAATTTCTCAGCGGTCGCACGATAGCAGCAAACTGTTGCGTGATGAAGCATCGTCCGTGTCACGGTCTCCCGCAGGCCGGGAGTTCGTGTTTGCGTGTGAGGAGAGGGTGCTTGCCAAAGCGATAACTTGGCGCTCCGTTTCTGAACTTCCCCTGCCGCTCCCGGCTTCAAGATGTGGCTGAGCTGCCGAAAGCAGCATCTGCTTTCTACTGTGCGTGTCGCTAAAGACGATAGTCTTTCTTGCGGACCTTCGACGTAAAAATTTTGGTCTGTCTGTCTGTCTGTCTGTACATTTGTCTGCTTGTCCACCTTTAACGATACCTCAAATGGTCCCAAACGGCCAACCCCAACTGCAGCGCCCACTAGTATTCCTCAAGATTCAGCGTTCATACTTGTGCGATTGTCAATTAAAAAACTATTATTGCGCATATCTGAGGCACCACAACAAGTCGATGTTTTTATGTGTGCCTTTATACTAGAGGAGGCATACAAAAGCAACTCTAAAAACTGTAGCGTTTATCACGCTGCGCTGACAGTGAGACATTATGCTCAAAATGGTGTTTCCAACGCTCTGCTAAGACGACACGGTGGTGGCATCTGCCCACCGCTTTGTGTTCTACACCTTATCACCTCCGAGACAATCTTTCTCCACGGGCACGCACGCCTTCGTTTTCGAAAATAACTGCCAGATGGCGCTCGTGTCTAACGTGCTTCGATGCGCTCGTTGGCCTCCGTTACACGCTCGAGGCACTCTAACGCAGCGCTTCCAGAATACCACTGACCGATTTTCTTGCGCACAACATCACATAAACGTTTTGTTCACTCTCTCCAGACGCAAGAATATCGTCTTTCGACGACATTTGCAGTGTAACATGCAGATTTGGGGCCCATTTTGTCACCAAACAGGCGCGACGGGCAGGGTATGAGCCATTTAAGAAAATACCTCCATCGATATTGTGATGGCGAAACACTTTGCAGCTGTTGCAGCTCACGAATACGGCCGTCATATAGAAGTCAACTTCAGGATCTGAAAATAGAGATCAGAAGTATAAATGACTATTTAACATCATTATTCAGTGGAAACATAAATGTTATTGCTTGGCATAATTACGTCTTTTTGCGCATAACTATTAAGACACAATGAGTGGCCGTATGGTGAGATAAGTGAGGACTGAAAAAGATGTACCGTTAAAGGGCTGTGAAGCATGCACAACTTCCGCAAACATTGAGACCCCGGGCGTTTTTTCTCCCCTTTGGATTGATGCTTCTGCCCAGTGAGTACTGCTTATATATATCGCACACGCTTAGTGTGCACTGTAGCGACAAGCGTTTTTCATGATCGTTTCCACTTACCTTTGCTCGGTGGCTTTCCAGGTCGTGCGCTCTCAACATGAACCAAATTTTTGGTTGTGTAGCCTGGCGATGACAGCAGAGTATCCTTTACAAACCTATATTGATGAGAGGAATTCCGATATGTTAATCAAGCAGAACGCCATTATAGTATCTGTTAGTGTTCTGAAATCAAGGAATCTTGGGCAGATTGTTAACAAATCAATTCCATCACATTTTAATGTCGTTTGACATCACTTTACATGTAGTTTGACATGCAAAGTTATGTTTAGGCTGAACAGCTACGTTGGCAGTAGACTTTCCGCGTTGAGTTTCTTTTTTCATGTATTGTGCGCGATTACCGTCCTGTGTAGAATCGTTTTATGTGCAAGTTTTATCACTGTAATAATACGTTGCGTGCTTGGAATTGCGAAGCATGTTCACTAATTTTCCTTTGTTGATTGTAGTCTTCATTTACTGTAGCAGTATTTTAGCAACTGTTGTAATTGCTATTGTTGGTATTGATTATGACTACTGCTCGTTCCCATTCCTGCTTGGGCCTAAGTAGGGCCTGCTGTATTTGTAAATAAAACACATAAAATAAAAACAGTAATCGCGAAAAGTGGTAAATGTGGTGGGCAGACTCACACGCAATGAACTTGAGCATTCTTATGAGAAATCGGCCGCATTGACATGTTCTTGCTGTGGTGTTTGAAATTACTATCGCGTGAATGTCGTGAGGTATTAAACTATAATTTTAGACGCACTTATGAAAAAAGGACATGCCAGCAAGAGAGACTTAATACTTCGATGCCAATTCATACATTGGCACTTGATGTTTGGCATTTTTACCGCAACCGTACTTTCTTTTCATCGATATTGCACAGTGTAGTAAGAAAAACCTTTTAATAATGAGCTTCGCCTGTCACCGTAAGAGTAATATTAAGAAACACGTATATATTTAACCATTGCACCCACTTTGAGATCTATATTATGCAGCAGGTTTGTGCCGTTGCAAAAGAAAAATCATCGTGATGGTAGCACGGGTGCCATTTGTTTGTACGCTCTGTCATGGTCCGCTCTACTATTCCTTACTAGATTATGCAAATCAGCTCGAGCAAGAAATTTTACTGTAGCACCGTTTTTAATACACGTTACTCTGGAGCAAATTTTAAAACATGACCTTTTTAAGCCGCGCAGTTCCACCATGTTGGCCACCCGCCATAATGGTACCATGATTATGGTACTCTACTGCTGACCTGCAGATTGCAGGGTTGAATCCTGGACACGACTGCCACACTTCGGGTGGAAGCAAAAATCTAATAATGTAAAGCTTTGGCCCAGTTGGTTTTGCATGATGAAGTACAAACAGCGCGCTAATCTACACGGGGAACCGCAAAAGAGGAGGCACAAATAAGCACCGAACAGGAACTGAATTGATTCTTAACACGAAATGAAAATATATACGGAAAGACATGACAAGAAAGAGGCACCCAATAAACTGTCATTGATTTCGCGTGTCACCTATCCAGTGAAGAAAAAAACGGCAGTGCTCTATCCAGCATCACATACAATGCGTAGAATGCACCAACAATGTCATCTATCATATTCCGCTTTCATGCAGGGGATGCTACGTAGGCCAAACAGGAAGGTGTTGAAATGACTGCCTTTGTGAGCACAAGAGCAATGTGCGCATGGCTAGATAGTAGGGAGTTTTCGAATACCGTTTGCAAGCGCTGCGGGAGTTGCGGGCGAAGCGGGCGCCTTATAAGATTTTAGAATAGCGTTTGCCCTGCTGCTAACCGCAACGCACTATCGCAGCGACACCGTAGCCCCGAAACCAGCGCTTGCGGGCCGCCATCACCGCCAGTAGCCTCAAAACCAGCGCTTGCGGGCCACATGCGGGCCGCCATTACCGCACGCACTTTCGAATTTTTTGCGTGCGCTCCGCGAACGCGAACGCCTACTCGCGTTACGACGCATGCGCAGTGGCGGTGACCGCACCGCAAGGGCTCCCTGTACGCTATTCTGAATCTCCTTAATGTTTCTTGGCTGCCGCTGCTGCGGTTGCACCCCTCTGTTTAAGGAAACCACAATCATCGGCACACAGCGGACTCGCGAACGCATTGAAGCCGCCCACATCGCGGAAGAAGGTTTATTATGCATTGACATTGCATCTGTCTGTTTATAAAAAAATGCAAGAGCGCGTGTAATGATCCCTTTAAAAAATGTGCTAATGCTTTATATAAATTTTTATGTCTTTCTGTATATATTTCTTTTTCATGTTAAACAAAGTAAAGTTGCTAGTTAGCGTTTGTGTGTGTCTCTTTCATGGCTCCGAGTGCACAATATCGCACTGTTCGTACTTCATCAAGAGGTGAAAAGTGCTCTAAGATGGTATACTTTGATTTAAATGCACGTTAAAGAAAGCTCAGTGTGTCGAAACTTCTAAAGTTTCCTCTACTACGGCACCTCTCGTAATCATATGGTGGTATTAAAACGTACAACTGCAACAATTACCATGTTAAATATTAGGACACCTATCACTGCTGATAAACAGGTAGATTTAGAGTATGCAACACCCAATTTACTCTGTAGATAACGCCTGTGCATCCAATTACAAAACACTCTAATATCTGCTGCTTGGCTTCGAAGAGTATTTCAGTTATCGCCAGGAAAACATCACTCACTTCGTGGTCTTGCCCTGTTCTTTTGTCCAAAATGCTGGCTCGTCTGGGTCAATCGTTACTGCGGTTGCATTCGCGCAATGAGTGCTGTCGCCGTACAACGGGTCAAGTTCGTAGTTTCTGTATATTACGTACCAGGGTTCTTTCCAATCCAAGCACTGAAACAAGATACTACAATGTACGCAGGAGCATTTGAAGGCACTGTAGAATGCGCTAAGGAATTAAAGCAATGTGTTCGCCACGGATAATAAGTTAACAGTTATAACAAGTTCGCACAAGTTTGTGCTCGTTCAAAGAAAGGAAATGTCGCAGTTTCACTCCAAGAAAGAGAAATAAATGCGAAAGCACCAAATTGGAATGCCATAAAAAGTAGGGCTTGCAGCCGACTTCTTTTCATCATCCGTTCTGGCATAACTCGAGAAAATGCTGGTTGAAGCACACGCGGCTGCTTCAGCTAGCACAGCGACCTTGGTGCTTTCACTTCAATGCACAGTCGCGATATGAAAGAGCGTAAAAGCTTAGAAATGAAGAGGTCGCTGCTATAATCTGCATGATCATATTGCGACTATCATCCGCTTGGTTCTCGCCGTTGGGTGGAAATTCACAAGCAAAACATATTGTTGCCATGTCGCTATTCTTGCGCAAAGGGTAGCTATGAGTCACCCGGACGTTGCCGCCGAGACGTCATCCCTTGCGTTTTCCTGGCGGTCTCAGATTGTCGGTTCCCAGGGATTAGACAACCTGTGCAAGATCGGCTGGCTACTGTCGCCGACTGATTTATCTGGTACTAAAGAAACTAGAGGCATTACGAAGACTCTGCGGCTGACGTGCTCCTCGACAAGCAGTGGCGCTCTCTATACGCTCACCTTAAGTTACAACAGTGCAAGAAGTAGCCGCGTAAGCTGGTAGCACCCCAAGAAGTAGAAGGCCGTTAAGCAGGGTGAGCAAACATGATTTGACGACCAAGAAGGCGCCTCGTTCAGTCAACTTCGCCGGCAGACAGCTGGGGCAAGAACATAACAAGAGCGAATCGACGCGCAATACGAAGCGTGTGAACACGCAGCCGTGACAACAAGCATTGAGGAATCGCGGATTCAACAACACAGCTCTGAGAAGTTTTCAGCCGACTGAACTCTCTTGAATTTTTTTTTTGTGCCGTAGGGCATACTGGTGCCAATAAACATATGGTAGAATAAGTGTCTCACAGCTCACAAGCAATAAAAGAGAGAAAGAAAAACTAAGAGGAAAGGCAGGGAGGTTAACGAAGCTTGACACGGGTGGCTGTCCGGCACTTGAGGTTGGGAAAAGGGGGAATAATAAAAAGGAAAGAAGAAGAGTGAAAAAGAAATGGGTGAATAGTCAGCTAGAGGCTACACAGCACGGTATCACGCTATTCTTTCACAAGTGCTCGTGAACACCGGTGGTCCTAAAAAGCAGAAGAGAGCTTTCGTAGCTGTGCGCGTATGTGAAATCGTCGGCCAAAGTACTGAGATTTTATTTTCTGTAAGTGGTCGTGAACGAAGCTGACAGAGCTTGGCTTCTATGACACGTAGTTTAGAGTGGTATGCTGGGCAGTGGCATATAGAAATGTACACAGCGGACGAAGGGGACAACGAGGACAAGCGCCAGCCCGCTCCGACACCTTGCGAGAGAAGGGGTTTGTATAGCAGCCCCAAATTAAGTTGCGGTCTGTAAATCCCACTTGACTCTTGAGTGCACTCCTTTAACCTGATATGTTAGAAAAAATTTTGTTCTTTTGCCTGTAGTGTTTTGATATTTCTGCTGAATATTCGACTGGGTTTCAATTTTGAACCGCCATTTGTGTGTGTGTTCCGGCCATTGCAAGCGTTCTTTGTCCTGTTAGGATCTTGCATTATGAATGTATTGCAATTTCTTCACTATTGCGGTTGCAGTATTGCGCAACGGTTGACTAGTGGCTAGTGGGGGGAGAAACGCTATGGTATTCGGCTTCTGGCACGAAGGTCACCGGCTCGATCGCGGTCGCGCGCCGGTCGCATCTTTATGGAGGGGAAATGGTATAGAGGCTTATGTACTGTGAGATAACAGTGCACGTCAAGGATGATCAGATGGTCAAAAGTTTCGAAGCGGTACACTACGTCGTCTCTCATAACCTTATCATGGTTGCGGAATGTAAAACGCCATATTCTATTAGACTGCAGCATTCGTAAATAAATTTATAACATGCCAAATATAAAGGTAGAATGTACGCACAGCCTGATAAACGATGATCACAGGGCTCAAAAAGAACGTCATGCGGCAGATAGATCTTTCAGGCCATGGAGACACATCATGCGCCACGACAGGTACAAGCCGTCTACTGATCAGTGTCACAAGAGGGCGCACGCCATCACAAGAAAGCGTGTCCGGTGGTTCAATGGACGCAGTTTACGCTGCAGCAACGTTATCTTATCCCGTCTACTAACCCCTCCTCCCGTTTCATTGTGTTCAAAAGCAATAATGAAATGGCTAGTTGGTAACACATTATCCAGAGAGTATGGTGCGAGAAATCTCTCGGACGGCAAAAATTGAAGACGAAACACAACTTAGTGTTTATTGCACCTGAGTGCGCGTGAACACACACACACACACACACACACACACACACACACACACACACACACACACACACACACACACACACACACACACACACACACACACACACACACACACACACACACACACACACACATACACACACACACACACACACAAACACACAACATATATGTTTATATATAAATATATATATATATATATATATAAAGAGAGAGAGAGAGAGAGAGAGAGAGAGGAGACACAACTTAGCAGTTGCTTTGATTTTTGCCCGGATTCTCCTCATCCTCATTGTGTTGGGGGAGAAAACTCTTACTGCTACAATTAAATTCGAATGATAATTAAAAAATAGTTCAGGGCTTCATTTCCTGACGAGTAGTTTAAAAAATTAATGACGTTAGTATATAAAGCTCGAAGATTCTCAACATTTAACACCGAAAACAGGTGTCGCCGTTACACAGTGCATCAGTGATAACATCCGTGTAAAAAATCGCAATATCGAAAGTTGCACCTGCCGTGAAATGATCGGAATGTTTCCAATACGTCTGCAATTATGCCAGTACCAACGTTAAAATTATGAGAAAATTGTTAATACGTGGATTTCATATGTTTCACATGCAGTATCGAGAATAGTGATTTTATTTTGCGTTCTAAAGTTACAATGCTGTTGGCGCTACTTCCATAGCATGATTGCACGGCGTACACAAGCGACAGTCATTAACATGAATATCATGACATGCTTGTCATGATTTGATGCTTGTTACGCTCATGTTGCGCTCACGGCCGTTTCGCTAGCGTCTCATGTTCCAAATTTAGTATTATGGTACGTAAATAGATGACGAAGGTATGTGACGGGTGCAAACTTGATAATCATGAGATGCACGTCATGTAACAACTTGACTACATGCCACGCTCAATATGCGCTCGCGGCCGTTTTACTAGTTTCATTTATACAAAATTTGGTATAAGGGGACGTGAATGCATGACGAAGGTATGATACTGGTGCAAACACGATCACATGAGATGCGTGTCATGTAACAACATGACTACATGTGACGCTCATGGTGCGCTCGCGGCCGTTTTACTAGTTTCATTTATACAAAATTTGGTATAAGGGGACGTGAATGGATGACGAAGGTATGATACTGGTGCAAACATGTTCACATGAAATGCGTGTCATGTAACAACATGACTACATGCGACGCTCATGGTGCGCTCGCGGCCGTTTTACTAGTTTCATTTATACAAACTTTGGTATAAGGGGACGTGAATGGATGACGAAGGTATGATACTGGTGCAAACATGTTCACATGAAATGCGTGTCATGTAACAACATGACTACATGCGACGCTCATGGTGCGCTCGCGGCCGTTTTAATAGTTTCATTTATACAAACTTTGGTATAAGGGGACGTGAATGGATGACGAAGGTATGATACTGGTGCAAACATGTTCACATGAAATGCGTGTCATGTAACAACATGACTACATGCGACGCTCATGGTGCGCTCGCGGCCGTTTTACTAGTTTCATTTATACAAAATTTGGTATAAGGGGACGTGAATGCATGACGAAGGTATGATACTGGTGCAAACATGTTCACATGAAATGCGTGTCATGTAACAACATGACTACATGCGACGCTCATGGTGCGCTCGCGGCCGTTTTACTAGTTTCTAATTTGGTATAAGGGGACGTGAATGCATGACGAAGGTATGATACTGGTGCAAACATGTTCACATGAAATGCGTGTCATGTAACAACATGACTACATGCGACGCTCATGGTGCGCTCGCGGCCGTTTTACTAGTTTCATTTATACAAAATTTGGTATAAGGGGACGTGAATGGATGACGAAGGTATGATACTGGTGCAAACATGTTCACATGAACTGCGTGTCATGTAACAACATGACTACATGCGACGCTCATGGTGCGCTCGCGGCCGTTTCAGTAGCTTGACATATGCCTAATTTGGTATTACGTTAGGTCATTGTATGCCGAAGGTACTTGACTGCTGCAAACATGATATTCTTGTGATGCGGGTCATATAAGAACATGACTACATGCCACAGTCAAGGCGCCAATACATTTCGACGTGACGCGGCGCGCGTGCTCGCTAGTGTTCATTTCGTCGCGTCACGCCGGCGTTGCCACGCCAGGCGTCAGTCCTGCCATATGCTCGCCGACACGCGCCGCGCTGCGTCGCTTTGACGCTTGCGCGTTTCAGCGCGTCTGGCATCCCTCCGTAACGGAAGGAGGGAGACGCATTGTTGTCTGGATAACGCATCGGCGCGAATGGCAGCATGTCGCATTTGACACCGATTGCCTTTGGGCCGCGCTGACGAACGCTGGTCATGCAGGTCGCGCCTGGCGTAAGACTATAGGCACCCGACAGTGAACCAGAGGGCGCAACGAAGTCCTTTTGGCGGCCTCAGCATTGTTGGTACCGACCACCAGGGATACTAAGAAAGTGGAACGCTCGCTGAACACAGTGACACGCTGAAGCGTCAGTGCCCTTTTTGGCACGTTTGCAAAGAACGCTTCCTGGGCGCTTACATAATCAGCCGTGACCGCTTGCTC